GAATACATTTCTTGGGTAATGACTGCAAGTGTTTTCAAACAGGATCATCAGTTCAAAATAAGTAAAGATGCAGCCAGAATGAAAGCTGTTAAAGAAAGATTGCTGCAGATTGCACAGCAAGAAAAGTCTCTAAAAGCAGGATCTCTTCTCTGTCTCTCTCTCTGTGGTAAGATCTCCTTTGAGATCCTGTTGAAGAAGACATTGTACATGTGGACAGTCTTGTCATGCCCACATCCTCATCACCTGCCCTGACAGGACTTGGAACTGGCACCTAGTAGCAGCAATACCTGGCACACCCTGTGCAACCTACCCAGTGCCAGAGAACTGGCAACTTCCAGAAGTGGCTGCTGCCCGGGGCCCTGGCCATGGGCACCTTTGTCTGCCATTTAGACCCCCACAATGTCACCAGCCTGTCCTTTCTGCAAGGAGGAGGTAGGAGAGACACTCTTCCATTCCTTCCTGGATTGCCTCTAGCTGCAGCTGCTCTTTGCTGCCCTCAGCAAGCACCCTCTTTGGCATGCTGGACTCGGACTTCTCTGAGACTGTGTACATCTTCTCTATCCCATACCAAGCAGCTAAGGGGAGCATGATCTGCCTGGCCAATTTCCTGCTGGGCCAGGCCAAGATGGAGACTGAAAATTCAGAGAAACCAGTTCACCAACAACACTTCCAACTCTAAAGCTTCTTTATCTGGGCACATGTCACATTTGAAATTGGACACTTCATCTTGCAATAAGATGCGGACCAGGTTGTGTCATGCTGGGCCATCAAGGGGGTGTTCTGCAAGGTGGAACATGGAAAGCTAGTCCTGTGTGTATAACTCTGGGAGGGGCATGGAGGAAAACGGGTTTCAATCTTTGGTGAAAGGATGTTTTCTGTCGCTGACAAGTGTTTTATGCTCAGCCCTTGGGAGGGCCATGCACCTTTCTACTTTTACCACTTGTTTTTAATATTTTTATAATAACTGTTGTAAAAAGTCAAAAAGTCTCTCTCTCAACCCAGTTTTTAAAAAATAGGATAATTGTGGCCAGACAGGAGGAACTGGCACTGAAAAGTTACCCATAAAACATCTACATCACTTCACTGTTTGTGATGTCCCCATGACAACCCACACACTGTAAGCATAACGAGCACTGCAAATGTTAAAGGAATGTGATCTGATGGTGTTTACAATATAAATGCACTAGACTGCAACTGCAATCTAGCTAGTTCAGATACTAGAAGTAGGAAAAATCAGTCTTCAGCACAAGTTTAGTTTCCAAAAGAAGCCAGGGTCTCAAGCCAGCTTCCTCAGGCTGCAGTGAAGCCTGGGTCACTACAGCTTCACTGACTGGTAACCTAGTTAACTAGATTAAAGCTGGTTCTCATACATTTGCTGCTGTCATAATTCTGACTGCAGTATAGGCATTTGTGAAGGATAATCTCCAAATCAGCACCGCAGATCTAGAATTAACATGGCACAGTCTCCAAATCATGGGTGGCCAGTTCATAATGTGCATGCCATAAGTGACACGGGCAACTTGTGTGTGGGGCGCATGGCAAATCAGGGAGGAAGCAGAAAAAACAGTGACTGATTGGAAAGGGAGCAGAAAGCAGAGCAACAGATTGAGCAGGGAGCAAAAAAAGCAGAGAAGAAGGCTAGGCATGGGAAGGGAATCACCGAGGCAATCTGGTTGGGCCCCGCTGCTCCAAGCGAAGACTAATTATCATATATGAGCAATGGTCAAGAAGCTGCAACAGAGTTAAGTTTCCATTGTCACTAATTTCTGAGTAACAATGCTGCCTGTTCCTCCAATCGAGCCCAGGGTAACAGACACATGGAACTTTGAATTTAGCATCTAAAAATCAATTACTTAGATTTTGCACAGATTATGAAGGGTTTTTACAAAACCTTGTTGTATGGAGGCTTAAAGACTTAATACTGTTTTAAGAAAAAGCACCTTCATTTATTTGAACATTCCCAAGTGCTGCTTCCATCCCAAATTCAACCACTGTTGATCACCCCATGAGAACCAAGCCAATGTAGCATACTCCAACAAGTAGACAATGGTGTTTTATATGCTAGCAGCAAATAGATTAGTAATGTATACGGTCAAAAAAACTTCTGGTTTAAAAGTAATCTAAGATATAAATAGAAGAGCTGATGGGGTGGGGGGAAGGGGATTTTGTTTTGGTTTAGGTAAAAGTTTTATTCAGCAACAAAAAAGGAAAAGAAAGTTTTGTTCCTTCCCACTCCAGACTGTCATTCACCAACCTGCAATATATGCTAAAGACAGACAGCATGTGCAAAGGTGAGCAAGCAGAAAAACCATTTGGACTTTGATGGTTTCACCAGGATGAACAAAGGTGGATAAAATGCCTCACATTAATGTACAAATGAGTGAGTCCATGTACCATACAAGCCAAAACAGAAGGCCCTGATCTCTTCATGTAGTATTTACACTTCAAGGCAGGACCTTTGTAGTCTGACTACCTTTGCTTGCTAGCCAAGCTATGAATGCAACAAGTTGTTTCCTTTTAGTAAGATGTAGCTGAATGCCAGGAAAGCCAGCCTTACAGAAAATGGTGCCCTGGGAGAACTTGTATTCCCTGCCCCCCCACCCCACGTCAGCAGCACTCCTGCAGGCACAGGCAGACAGGCAGGGATGCAGGGCACATAGTCCAGCAAGGAGACAGAGCTGCATGGTGGATAGTGCGCCAGGCAGGCAACAGGGGGCAGACTCTGTTGCTGCTGCATGAGAACAAGGCAGGTGGACTGGAGCAGGTGCCACCCCATGACACTGCCTGGCCTGGCTCCTCCTGAGCAGCAGCTAGAGGCAGTGAGGCAGGCTGGGCTGGGCACCCCTCCTGTCTGGGGTGGGGATTGGCCAGGGCAGGGAAGGAGGAGAACGCTGCTGCAAGCATGGGGCTGCTCATGTGTGTGTGTTTGGCAACCCCCTGACCATGGCATCCTGGGCGACTGCCCACCCATAAAGCCTTCTCTAAACAATAGCCTTGTCCAAACAGAGGTTTCCCTCCAATTCTGCCCCAGCACCAGCACTATGCTGCAAGCAGTAACACATTTAATAACCTCAGTAGAGGCATGAGGTATAGCCAGAAGAGGCAAATGTGTCCTGGCACAGCTGATCTGCTTGCTTGGGGTCTACAAACATCGAGACATGGGCCCCTGCTGTGCCCTGACTTAGGGAGCATGTCTGCAAGTGGGGGACCCCCACAGAGGTACCCCCACTTGCAGACGCACATCCTTAGCTGTGATACAGCAGGGTGATGTGGGGATTCCCAGGGTAGGGCAACAGATAGTGCACAGTCTGGGAATCCCCCTGCAGGATTCCTGGGGCATTCAGGATCAGGCCCCTGAAACCTCAGGAAGCACCTGTTTGGGGCAGCTGGAAAGCATGAACAGCCTCAGGCTGTCTGCACACTCCTGCCATAAGTAAACAAATATTGGCTGTGAAAAAGGCAGCACAAACTATGCATGGGAATCATTACACTTGCAAACTAGGGTATTTGTGGTGTGAAAAAGGACAGACATTTGCTAGGGCACAAAGGCAACATTTGTTTGCAGAATTTGTGTTCCCCAACCACTCCTCTATCTTCCTTAAACAAGCCTCTACCAGGATTCTCCTGTTCACTTTGGTATCCCCCTACGCTAAAGGGCACCTATACACGTCCCAGACATCTCCTCCGACATATGCTAATTAGCATGTGCTGGAGCAGACTTGATTAATTAAGACACTGGAGTATGCTAATTGGCATGCTCCAGCAGCCTCCAGAGTCATGTATTCAGCATCCCCACACTTTAAAATGGCAGTGAGGGGAATTTAACTAAAGTTCGTTGGACGAGCTTTAAAGCACCCCTGCCGCCATTCTGAAGATGCTGAATACATGTGACACTGTGGGCACTGTAATTGGAGCAGCTCTAATTAAAGTGCCTCCCCCCGCCTCTACGCTGAAGTATGTGTAAAGAGGCCCCAAACAGTTTTGGACTGGCTCAGGCTATCTAGATATGAAACATTGTTTAAACAGTCTAGCCTCCACCATGGACTGGCCAAGCTGTCTCAGGAGATGCACATGATAGAACAGAAAGTCAATTTCACGAAGTGCCTTTCCTGAACGCAATGCTATAATCTACTCCCCAGCTCCCAGCACGGCAGACCTTCATGACCCTACCTCCAAGCACGAACACTGCTGCTATTCTTTAGACATACTTTTGGAGCCAACTAAAACTGCCTAGCTAAAACAGAGTAAGCCTGAACAAGTGTTTAGAAATAGCTTGGGTAACTCTTTCAGCTCCAGCTAAAGAGGTGCCTTTTACCGATCCACCCTCTTTCCAGTAAATCAACTCTCTCATTTATCCTTAATTTTTCACTAGCCAATTCCTTATGTGCCTGCATGTTTCTCATGATGATCCCATCAAAAAGCAGCTATGCTGATAAAAGGTGGGGGGGAAAGCTGCTCACAGGTTTGTAAGTTTTCAAGTAATGGGCAAGCTTAAATATGTGCCAAGGCAGCAAGTACTGGTTCCTTGCTAAAGGTAATGCAGAGCCAGAGTGAATGCCCCAGTTGCTGGCAATAAGATGCATCCTGAGAAATCCTGAAGAGGCAGCAAATTCTAGCTCTGTGTGGTTCACATCCTATGGCCGTTCTCAATGGAATGGGTAACAATTGCAATGACTTGGCCAGATTCCAACTCAGGAAGTGATCTTTTCCCTCCCCAAATTCCCACTGCAGTTTGATGGAAACATTGTTACTCTTTACTTCCTTTCCAAAATTGCTTCACAATATTTGTTTGCACAGATGGATGTGTTCCCTACCACCCCAGATGTGGTTGCACTTCTGTGACAGGTGAAGAAATCCGTATTATTACAATCATCTATTTCTGTACATTCCCAAAGTTCATTTGCCTGCTTCCGGCAGGTGGGTGCTACATGCAAGAAAAACTATGAAACCATCAGCTGTCAGTATCTCGGTATTTAGATCAGTAAGTTTAAAGCACCTACCTTGTGTAGCCCAGAAAATGCTGACAGGTGCGGAAGGTACATCTTTGCTTTTTACCCAGCTGTTGTTGCGATGCCTGATCCAGGCAGAGATGACACAGTAATAATCCCCTCGGTCTGTTTCAGATGTCCACTGGATTCGTAAACTGAAGGTATCCACAGCCTGTTTAGAGAAAATAATTTCTCCATTCTCTGCCCGTTGTCTGCTCCCATCCCCAACCAGTAGCATCCAGTCTGCATCCATAGTACCAAGTAGTTCATCTGTCACCACATCATCACTGCGTATATATGGCCTGTAGTACCAAGAGACTGTAAAACGTATGTTTCCTTCTTCTGTGTTCTGTGCATTCGTAATCCTGCACTCCAGTTCTGTGGGATCATCTGAGAACTTGGGTGCTTTAGAAGCATTCAGAAGTACCTGGTAGTCAGGGTCTATAGATGAATGGAGAAAATGGGAAGAAAGCCAAACGTATAAGGCTAGGGTCAACAAAGCAAGAGAATGCAAATGGCAGAGTAACCATGCAAGTGCATTTAAGATTAGGGATGGCAATCCCTACACACAACAGCACCTGAGACAAATACAAAGGACCAGAATATAATGTCTTACCTGTAAAAAGTAAAACACCAGAAACATAACCCAATATTTTCCAACAGCCGCATTTTATTTTAGGTATCTAACCTGCATGCTGGCCTTGATTTTTAGTTCACATATACTTGAGCTAGAACAGAGTCCAGCTCTTCAGAAAAACCAGGTCCAAAACATCTGAACATGCAGAACCTAAGAAATATTACTATTTCCTTCTATGTTCTGTCCATAGCACCCCAGATTTTGATAACCTTTTACACTTTCCCCCAAAGTTCAGATTAATATGTAAAATGTAAGAGCTTGCCATCATGGTGTTTCAGAGAAATTGGTTAATGATACCCCATGCCTCCAGGATAAAAAGACCATTTCCACTGCCAGAAGTGATACTATCAGTCCTATCCCTTGTAGAGCACCATATACATGACCCCTACAGAGGGCATCTTCCAACAAGAGGTACTAAAAGTATCTCCTGCCTTGGCACTGTACAGTGCCTACATAATTGCAACGTTAAGTACAGCAGGCACCAGAACATCTTCAGCTGGCTGACAAACACCAACGACACAGGTAAGAAAAGCAACTTGGAGTTTTAACTGGAAAGTGATTACAACCCCATACAGGTCACAAAACCTCAGAGGAAACGAGTGCCTAAGTTCAGAGGTTAAAAACTGAGCACCTGTATTTAAGGCTGAAATAGCCAGTTGTCCTAATCCTGGAAAGTATAGAACAGTTGTATGACCTTATTCTCTAGCAGAACAGAGAGACAGCAAAATAAAGAGATTACTGTAAGACTCTATTAGCAGCAGATTCTGACAAAGGAAATGAGTGCTCATTTGCCTGTAATAAAATGATTTTTCCTGCGTTGCCTTTTACAGCCTAGCCTTGCTTTATGACTAATACTTCCACCACGATTGTGTGTTATAAATTTTATTCTTTGCTTCTCCTTGTAGCTGATATTTTTCTTCCCTTTAGCAAACAGTCATTGTAACTACAATTAGGTCAGAGAAAGAAATAGAGGCTAAAATGTACCTACCTCTGAAGCATAATACAAAATCAACCTTAACAAATCTACTGTGAGATAAACCTTAGACTAGCAGTTCTCAACCCTGGTTCAGAATCACTGCCTTAGACCCTTTTGTGTGCAGGTGTTAGCAGTCTTAGGGTACATTTGATAGCAGTGGTACCACTTAAAAAGTACTTGGCCTGCATCTGGTCAGGCAATTATAGAGAAACCTTCAACAGTTGCTATTTTTGATGCAGCATCTTTACTACAGCCAACCATGGGGGCCACTAGCAGAGTCTACACATTACTTAAATAACTGCTTCTTTGCCAACTTAAATAAGAGGTAAAAATGTTGGTAACCAGCCTATATTAGTGCTTCCACAGCTTCTAGTAACAGCAACTCTGAGACATCTCCATTGATTATGAACATCAGCCAGACCTTAAAAAACATCCACAAGATCCTTCACTATAACAGGATCATTGGTAAGTGACAGCAGCCACAACCACTCACACCTTCTTTCTGGGAACTAAATCCTCTCTAATCCTAGACAGTTAGACTGTCCTTCATATCCCCTTCACAGATGATAGCAGTTCTCAGGCCGTAATGCCACAGGATGTCACTCCAATAGGTAGTGCAATGTTCCCACCTCCTGCAAAGCAACAGGGGTTGAGGGGTTTAGAGGTACTGGGGGCACTGTATTGTGAGAGCATTATCATCAACTAAGTACCAATGTGAGTGAACATAAAGGCTGAAGTTTTTCTCAGGCCAGGAAATAGGACAAGGAAAGAGATGAAAAATTGGATTTCAGCTAATCACTTTAGCTTTATTTTATTGTATGTATTTATTTATTTTTGTAAGGAGAAGGATTGCTAGGGAGAAAGAGTTCTTGGCTTTGACAGCACCACTCCAGCTAGGCACTTCATACTGGCTGATGCTCACAGGCAGAGGATTTAGAAAGAAGAAAGGCCTGGCTGGATAAACCTCATTCCTCCACTCTGTCACCTGTCAACGAACAGCTTCACTGACAGTTAAATGACTTAATACCCCGCCAGCTCAGCTTCAAGCATGGAGGAAGGGGGTTAAGTAGAGAATCCAGGATGTGGTTTTTAGAACCTCATATGCTGTAAGAAACATTCCTCTTCCATTCCCTCTGTCCCCAAGCAATGCAATCCTGCTTGAAGAGTAGTTTTTACTGCTTGATTGTCCCCAAATAAATTACTGTTTGGTAAGAAAAGGACCAAACTTCCAAGCAGCCTACAGGATGCTTCAGTACAAAGGAAAGGTGTCGAGTCAAGTTTTGACCAGGTGATTGTTATGACCAAAAGATGATTTTAAAGGAAGAAACAGAGCACAGCAGGTTAGCACATACAACCATCTCTCCAAGGCACATGAGGACTATTTTCATAGATTTCATAGACGTTAGGGCTAGAAGGGACCTTGAAGATCATCATGTCTAGCCCACTGCCCCAGGGGCAGGAAGTCAGCCCAAGGTTTCAAATGCTAAAAGTTTGGAGAGAGACACAGAAGTGCCGATTGCCCCAAAAGTGCAGGTATATGGAAAGCAAGAAGGGTAACCACCAGGATCTCAGTAAGACTATCAGCCCTGTAACTTGGCATTTTACTTCTAAACCTGGGTTCAGAACCTAATCTAGGCTTCTTGACTTGCCTCTTTCTTCCCTCCTCCCCCACCTCAAGACTACCACCACTGACTAGACATTATTGTTATTCTCTGATTAAAAGAGACACTAAACTGAAACAGCATGGAGTGCTAAGCCAGGACTGAGGTATGCTGCACATCTGTAACTGGTACCAAGCTCACTCATGGCTGTAAAATAATCAGTGCCGTGTAGACTTTAGCAGGGATGAGGCAGAAGTGCCTCTTAACTCTGTCCAAAATACAGTTAGAAGCCATCAGGTTTCCAATAGCTGAAATCAATTACTTTATTATTATTATTCTTTGAGACAGTTGTGATATGTCACAACAAACTGGAAAATACACGGGTTTTTGAGGGCGGGTTTAGAAATTCTGCTTGGGTTTCATTTCTGATATCACTCCTGAAGAACTGTTGACTTCTCAGGACATCTGCGTAAAGACAGACTCTCCATAGCTGAAGAGTTCAGCCACGGTAACAAAGCAAAAGCTGGTAAAGTCAGTATCTGGTGTTGCATAAGACAGCAGGTTATCAGTCTAAATACAGATTCAGTCCTGGGGGGAAGAAGAACACTACTATCCTGCCCTTGTACATAAAGTGAGGTAAAGGAGCCCACTACATCCTTTCCTTCTCCAGTTTCTGATTTTACAACAAAATCCTGCCCATAAGAACAAACATCAGCTATGCAATGACGTGGCTTAGTAGCAACTGTAAATGTGCAAACAAGCATAAACTCCTTTGTATTATCATTGGGGTACCTTAGAACAATGTGCTCTTTAAAGAGTTTTATAAAAGGTAGCAAATGGAGAACAGTAATCTTGGTAAATCTATATTATTAGCCATCTGCCTTAACATGGAAGCACTTGCTGGGGCTGGGTTACTAAGCCACACTTTCAGAACAATTTGTTATAGGACAGTAAAAAATAAATAAATTAAATTAAAGAACCCCACAGATCATTATCAAGCTATTCAATGTGTGGCAACTCCAATTTTCACCAATTTATATAAGTTGCAATACAAGGCCTTTCAGCTTCTGGCAGGTCTATCACATGCCTTTATTCTAGAATACGTAATTAATAACAAAACTGAAAAGGATGAATGTGAACCATATTTCAAAAGGTATATGGCTCAAGACTCTCACATATATGGCCTTTGAGACAATGGAATACCCAGAAGAGACCTTGCAATGTCTTTGTCCTGTATACACCATGCTGTAATTGAACTAAGGAAAAAAATGGTTTATCTGTACAGAGTTTTTCAATAGAAGCACTCACCTAATGCTGTCACGACGACATTGACTGGTGCTGATGTTCTTTCCACCACCTTGTGCCAGCTCCTATTGTGCAATGGCACCCAGATAGTGGCTTGGCAGAAGTAGAAGCCAGAGTTTTCCACATCCACATCATGTACCAACAGGTGATAGGAATTTCCATCCATGCGACTCAGGCTGACAAAGGCAGAGTCGCTGACAACAGAATCACGGTCCCAACTCAGCAAAACCTGGGCATCAGACAAGGTAACACTGGGTGACTCACTGAAATACCATGTGACCTCTGCTTGGAAAATGCCACTTCTGTCTGTTGTGATGTTGCAGGTGAGGTCCAGAGAGTCTCTTTCAGTTACAGATGCGTTGTTTGTGATAAGGACCACATCTAGAGCTTGAAAAAATCAAGAGAAACACCCCACACAAGGTGTTAGTTTTTGACAGACTTGTGAAAGATCTAGTATCTTCTCCAAATCTAAAAGTACATAAATTCCTACAAACTGCTTGATTAATGACAAATTTATCAGGACTTTAATATTTTATTCCCAGCTCTGCCAGAGACTACCTGGGTGAGATTGGGCCAGTCAAAGTCCTTGCACCTACATTCCCAGAAGTAAGGGTAAATTTCCCAGGCTTATAATGGTGCCAACACACTCAGCAACTAAAGTCACACAAGTCAATCTCCACTGGAGTCAACAGGTGCTGCACTTGTTTCTATCAGAACACCAGTCAGTCACTTCTGTTTTGTGTTCCTCTGATGGAAGTCATATTCCTCCTAGTGTAGCTGTCATACAAACAGCCTTGGCTAAATCCTGAATTCCTGACCTACCTCAACACCATTACCAAGATTAGAAACAAAAGTTAACAGAAAGCAGAGCTACACTGCTACTTCTCTAATTTTAACAGTATCCAACACATGCTTGAAGACTTTACATTGCTACAACAGTGGCTTAGACATATTATCAGACTCCTCTCCTGGCCAGTGACTGTATTCAATCCCTATAACACATGCTATTCACATTCAAAAAAAGAGGTCTTTGAGATCCAAAATAACTGGCAGTGTTTTAGAAAAAGGAGATGGGAAGTAAGAAGTGAAGAGATGAGTTTAAAACATGCTATTTTTAACCTCATGGCACAAGATTCATGTGGTATCTTATCTTGTCCCCTTTTGTCTCTCAGCAATTTAAGTCTATTCACCTACTGCATACTGTCCAAGTACAAGCCTATGAGCTCTTTGGGTAGGGGCTGCAATGCCTTTTGTTTGTAAAATATGTAGTGCTCTAATCCTGACTGAAGTCTGCTGATTTTGCTAAACTAGCACCAGTGCTACGAATCAGTGGTCAAGTTCCCCCTTAACAGGAAGCTACATTTAAATGACAGATGAAGTGATTTCCATGTATGCACACTACAGCACTTTACTTACTGTTTGTAAAGCACTTTGTGATTTTTTTTGTAATGAAAGATGCTCTCTAAATTTAAGAATCAATCACTCCTTAAATTATTAAAGCTGTTATCTTTAAAACCAAGGCTTGCCCCTCTTCCAGTCTAACACCGCTTCTGACAGCACAAAAAAGTCAGTAAGCTCACTTGGTCACACAACAGCACTCACTTGTCAAGCTCCCATCACCTGCATGCCCCAAGTAATAATTCTGACAGGCAAGCAGACAGTTTGTTCCCCCCCTCCGCATTATAACTGTGACGTGAAAATTGACTAAGCCTCTCAATTCATAATGTAATACACTAATATCAAACGCAAGATTAGGACTCAATAACAAGGAGAAGCATAATAGGTTTTCCAAGAAACAAGCACCTGTCAAACACAAGAAATACCAGATATCTAATAAAGCAGAAATTTTTGTAAGGATTTTGCCCATACACATTCTCTCCTTAATGCTCTCTTTAAACTGTTATTATTGCAAAGTGCCTGAAGACCCCAATCGGATTATAAACCCATTACATCATGCAAACACATAGGAAGAGACAATCTCTTGTCCAGAAATCTTAGGATCTTTTCCAGGATCTTAGATAAGGCAATCATAATGACAGCCAATAGAAGGGATGGGAGCAATGGGGGGCCAAGGGAATAGCAGGAAGTTCAGGCAGTCATACAGCTAATTTGTATGCACCCAAAAGTGGTACTGGATCATTTGACATAGGAGGACAGGGGGCATAAAACTCTCATTTTACATAAAAAGAACACAACAGCTTTTAAATCCAAGGTGGCCAAAACATTCCCCAGAATATGCTATGCTCACCCTTGCCTTTAATGTGAAGGTACAGCCTATGCAGACTACAGGTCTGAGTACACAGTGCTCTCAAGTCCTAGCTGTCAGACCACATTACGTGGAGGTACACATATTATACACAGGCTATAACATTAATATTTTAGAGGTGGGACAAGATCCACTCCACTTGAGACAAGTTAAGAGAGGCCCTTGTGCTACCAACAGAACAGGCAGGTCTACAAATGACTGAGCTGAATGTGAAGGCCAAAATTATTTTTAAAAATCTGTCCCTGCTCAACCACCGTTTCTGGTGCCTGCCATTTCCATCTTTTATCCAACCAGTGAGATTCAACCCCATCCTGTTAATTCAGGTTATCCAGTAACTGAAAAACTTGACAAAGGGAGAATTACAGCCCCTGATCAGTACTCCCGGTCTATGGAGAGAAGTTGTGCCAACTGTGCTGTCTAGCATCCTCATCTTCTTGAGGAAGAAGGGGCAGGCTGATCCTGTCAAATCTCACAGACTAAGCAGTACTAGGACACTAAATCACATCCAAATTAGCTATCCAAACAGCAGTTCTGAGTTCTCCCTGTGGCGATTAAAGGATTTCAAAAGGCAGATGCCCTTACTGTCTGAACACTGCCTAAAATAATGTCATAATCGCACATTTCTAAGGGACCATCTTGTCTGCTTTTACACCCACTCAGTGATAAGATGCATTACCCGGGCTGCTACACACACACAGCCACACACTTTGCCAGGACTAGCAAATCTAGTCATAAAAGCTCTGGGCTGAGGATATCTGGATAGTCAGTGTCCAGGACTACAAGTATATGTTTCCCAAACATGCAATTTACAGCTCCTTAGTCGAGCATGCAGTAAGTACTTAGCAGAAAAACTGCTTCCCTACACCACTGCCAACATGGTACCACAAGTACTCCAAGAAAACTGAGGCAGCAAAATCAACACTGCAGAGCTGAAAAAATAAAAACATACTTGGAAATCACTGTTGCCTTTATTTTGTTTAACTAATTCGTTTTAGTATTTAATAGTATAAATGAGAAATACTTCAGACCTGCCACTGATGCACAACTACCTTTAGGGTGGAAAGGGGCATCTGTTTAACAGTACAGATCAACATCCACTGCAGTCTGAGACAGGACATGAGTATGTGGAAAGGTAAGTTTGAAGACACAAAATGCAAAGACCCAAGAAGGGCTGGGGGTAGGATACAGAACCAGAACACAAATGACTCTGGAGATATGTGACAGAATTAAAACCAGCCCTCAGGTGATCTGGATTTAGATCTTTTCTCTTGTTTAAAAAGATCAATCGATGTATTATCATGTATCAATTTATTGTTCTCCATCATGTTGCATAGACCCTGTCCCTAAGAAAGGAGAGAGCCAACAACATTATTTCCTACCACAGTTGAGGCGTTCCCAGGTGGCATCCAGGTTAAAATACTATCCAGCCTTTATCCTTCTTCTGCTCTTGCTAATTCACATGACCCAGATGTGGCAGGGAGGAAGATCAGTTTTAAAACATACACATCCCACACCACCCTGAAACACACCTGTCTGTTGGATCACCATGCTTGCTGTCTCCACACTCTTCTCCTGAATCTTCTGCCACAAACCATCTGTCCCTTTTACCCACTCGCTCACTAGACACCTGTAGGCACCTTCATCCACTGGCAGTGCCTGAGACACTGACAACCAGTAAGTGTCATTTGTTGCTGCATCGAAGCGTACGTCTCCGCTGTGGTAGCGCTCCCCATACTCAGGGCTGGAATGGAACTTGCCCTCGTGCGTCAGAGAAAGAACTTCCCTCCAAGATGGGCCACTCTTCACTTGCCAGGTAACATGTAGGTGAGTGTGCTCTGAAGTGTGGGTAGAAGCTGAACAGCATAAATCAAATGAGACTCCTTCAGACAGCCTGAGGGATGCTGAAGACTGGGTATTGCAGCGATTCACTTTTAAGCCATCAGCAATCACTAATCAAAGAAGAGATTATTATAAGCACACCAAACAATAAAAATTAGTCAACTAAAAAAGCCGCCTCCCCAACTCACGCTCCCCAAAAAATAAAAGAAGTGGTGATGATCAGGAATAAAGTTGGATGGCTGGCCCCAAATTTGTTATACATGGCATTTTGGCCAATCGTCTCTATATCCTTCCACGCTCCCCAAAATCACTCAAAATCATTCAAACACCGTTATTTTATCAAAGCAAGTCCCTACTGAAGTGCTCAGTCTGATGCCTACCCCCAGCCCCAAGTTCTGTCACTGACAGCAAAATCTAGATCAATAGGTTCGCTTCCAAATTTTGCCTATCAGTGGGAGCATCTATTCTACACATTCATTAATGTGCCATAGTTACTGTGCATTAAGTTTAGTACTTGGATTATCAAGTACTAAATCAATGAGCAGTCACTTGTGCTACTGCACAGTAGTGCCAGCACATGGTTTTTCAGTGATGCTAACTGGGAAGCAGCCTAATACTAGTGCACAGTAGTGTATTACCACGGGTTTTGCCTGGCACACTACTGTGCAGTGTTATAAGGCTACTGCACACTTAACGTCTTTTGTAGACGTGCTCAGTGTGCAAGACAATGCTATACATTCATTAAGGAAAAAAAAAATCCCCATTATCATGCTGCTGAAGGATATCAGGCTCTACAGATAAAGGAAAATTACTACTGCCTTAGTTGAAAACCCCTAGATGATACTCTCAGCTGTAAACATACCCGCTCCCTGTCTCCCATCCCTTTTATTCCCTTTCTCCTACTTATAATTTAGCCTTCCTGCTTCAACGTCTAGGAGGTTTACACTAGATTCTTCAGAGTAGTGGTACCTAACCTTTTTCCCTGTGGGCGAGATGGACAGTGCTCAGTCCATCCAAAGGCCAGATACAGCATGCAGGACAGTGAGGCAGGGCTCAATCTGGCCATGTGAGGTCAGGGAGCAGCCCAACCCCTATCCGGCCATGTTAGGTGGGGGTAGTGTGGCCCAGTCCTGATCTGCCCACACAGAGGGCGGGGAAGAGGGCATGGCTTTGCCTTGATCCAGCCATGTGAGGGGAGTTGAGGGGATCAGAAGGGGCACAGCCCAGCCTTAATGCAGCCACACAGGCTGAGGAAGAGAAGGGGGTGCAGCCTAGCCCCAATCCAGCCCTGAAGCATGGATCTGGAAAAGAGAACTGTCACAGACAATCTGTAACAGGGATTTAGGCAAAAACAGGGCCAACGACTATTCCCGGTATTGTACAGAAGCACAGAAGGTATTGGAATACCCAACAACATGTTTTCACTTGGTACCACTTATGAATACCCCTCACCCTTCAGAAATACCTTTCAGGTCAACTGTAGCATAGTAATTCCCCTGAACAGTAGCATCTGTGCTGGGGGTGGTGCACTTGTATTCTCCTTTGTCAGCTGGCTGAACATTTTTGATCACAAGTTCCACGGCGTCATTGGTATTCCGTCTCAGCTTGATCTCTTTGCTGTCAACCCGCTTTTGGTACTCCTCAGAGGTGAACGTGGTGTCCCAGGTACTGACTATGCGCACAAATTTACTTTCCTTCCAAAACTCCCACTCAAAGTTCTGTTCTCTGGGTCCATCATACTCACTAACACTGCAAGGAATCACCACCTCTGTGCCCTCTACTCGAATAAGGGGACTGGTGGGCACTCTGACAATACGTCCTCTGCAGAGAGCTAGGCAGAAAAAAAAAAACCAAAAACACATTTAGCGTAGAAATTAATATGTTGAATGAAATCAGGTGTCCCACTAGTCCAATTGGTTCAGGAGAACAAGAAGAAATGCACCTGTGTGCAAAATCATAATACAGTATTTACTTCAATATAAGACATACCTGATACAAGGTAACCCCACCCCCAATAATTAGATTTTATACATGGAAATTTTTTTAACTAATTATAATTTCCCAAGTATAGAATCCAATTATTGGAGGTCTGTCTCGAATGTGTCCCTTTCCTGCTGCTACAGCAGGGAAAATACATCTGGGAGATCAGGTAGCTCCTTTGCCCTCTGCTCCCCAGTTTCTTCGTCCTACAGCACCTTTCCACCTGCTTACTGTCAGACCCTGCTTTCCCTGAGCACATGGAAGCAAGGAGCCAATCTGAAAAGACTGACCTTCAAATAAACATAGCTATAGTAATTTGCACATACCCGTAGACTTAATTCATTCAGAATTGATGCATTTCATGTTTTTTGAAACAGCTGCAAGTTTTAACACAGGTACTGAATACACACACTTTTAAGTACACACACTTTTAAGTAGATGACAAGGTGCTACTTAGATATAGTTATGGACCACTGTAATTTGGGTTTCGGGGGATTTCACAGGAAAGCCTGAAATTGAGTGTTTCCCCCAAAGTCCCAGAAAACTGCGATTTGGCTGGAAACAGCCTGAAGCCACAGGGGGGAGGTGGGGGGTTTAAAGATTTCTGTGCCCACAGAGGGGCATGGGGCTGCAGCTGAGTTGAACTAGCTTCAGGAAGGAGCTGCCTTCGCAGCCAGGACGTGGCGCAGGAGGGAGTGCCATGTCACCATGGCTGCCAAGGTGAGGCACGGAGGCAGTGGCAAGGAGTTGTGCCCCCAGCAGTTGCCAGGCAGGCAGGGGGCACCTCACCTTGGCAGCCATGGCAACACAGCACTACCTCCTGTGCCAGCTCCCACCCACTGGAACTTTAGAGGTGCCTCCTGCCCAGAACTGGTCCAGCCTGTCTGCAGCCCCGTGCCCTGCTGTGGGCACAGAAATCTGGAGGGGGTACATGTGTCCCCCCACACATCACCTCTGTCCCTCGTTCCTCTGCCATGTCGCCTGTGCCCCCCACCCTACCCCTGTAAGCTTCCCTGGAGGGAGCTGGTCCCTACCATGCTACCTGCACATGCACATAACACCCCCTGCCTCCTGCTCCCCACAACCCCAAACAGCCCTTGCAGACTGGAACTCTGCCAGCCTGCAAGAGGAAACCTGTGGTTTCCTGCGTTTGTCTCTTTTACAGGAGAAAAATCCACGTTTTCCCACAGCAAATGGAAAACCTAGATCCCTGCTTATTGATTTCTCCTTAGATGCAAGTCTTTCCAAACTCATAACTTTTGTCACCCACTATCAGACCCTTTCTTTTCCTAATAAAACCTGAGATGGATTGACTTTACATGAAAACAGTCATCCAAATGAGGCTGAATCAGAGATTTACATGAACATACTGTCAAACCAAACATTATTGCTTATCACTGTTTGCTTAGCAACATTATCCATAAAGGAATTTCCACATTCCTGGAGTGTCAAGTGAAGTTCACACATTAAGAAACTCATTAAAATGAGGACATCCTACAAAGAGTCCAGAGAACAGCCATACGCATGATTAGAGGTCAAGAGAAAGGCCTTATGAGGAAAGGCTGAGGCATGGGACTCTTCAGTCTGGAGAAGAGAAGGCTCAGGGGCGACTTGGTGCAGCCTATAAGTACATAGGGGGGGTGTGCATCATGAACTGGGAGAACGTCTGTTCACCAGGGCACCCCAAGGGGAAACATGGTCAAATGGTCACAAACTGTTAGAAAAACTTCTTTACTGTCTGAGTCTCCAAAGTCTGGAATAGACTCCCCCCAGAAGTGGTGCAAGCACCTACTCTGGACATGTTCAATAAACGCCTGGATGCTTACCTTGCTGGGGTCATCTGAGCCTAGCTAACTTCCTTTCCTAATGTCTATGAAATCTATGAAGAATTTAATGTTCTGCACATCGTATACTTTGATCTTTCCCTTATTCCAGTTGCTCAGGAACCCCAGCAAGTGCCTTTATCTAATAATCCTAGCAGTGTTGAAGCAGAGGCATTTAATTTTTTAGTTTATCACCTGATCTTACTACCATAAGGCTTCTGCCAACAGAATATTTCAACTGAACACATGGCATTCTGCACAGAGGTTAGTTGACAAGATGAACATGGGCTCTGGACAGGCTATTTGCTATCCAGGCATAAAGTAAAAGTAAGAAACTATGATACTTTCAGGGCTGGATGCACTGGCTTGGCCTATTAATTCACCACCTTCCCCCCCTAAACTAGGCATGAGGTACAGTACATACCTGGGACCTTCAGTACATACCCAGAGCCTTCAGGCACCTAATCTTTCCTAGCCCCAGATGTACACCTCCCTACCCAGATGCATCAAACAAGGTCTGAGGATGGGACCTGTATGTGATGTATGTACACAACGTTCACAGAATATACAGAACTTATTTTTTAAAATAATAAATAGTTTTAAATGTCTGGATTGCAAAGAACACTTTCCGAATGAGAAGAGGATAAGAGTGCAGCACTGTCTCACTCTGGCTGCAGAAAGCTTGAAGTAACTCAAATGAGAACTTTCCTAGGTATGATTAACCTCACTGGAGTATTAAACTCTAAAAGCTTATTATTTTAAAGAGATGTATAAATATTTAATTGCATTCCTTCTTCTAGTCTACTGCTATGTTAAGCAGAAAGGTGAAAAGATAGATATGTACTACAGGAAAGGAAGAGACAAAAAGGCAGAAAAAAAGAGTTTGTCCAATGCAGTGATTCTCAACCATGGTACCACAACACCCTGGAGTGCCATGAAATATTTAAGGGTGACATACAACATAGCACTGTTAGGTATGCACACACTTACACAAGACAAACTAAAACCAGAGATTTCAAATTGGAATCCATAGTGTCAAAAGTATTCTCACCTGTGGTCTCTCTAACAAAAGGGAACAGAAGTTCCTTGCAACAGAAATTGTTCTAGTATTTTTTCTGTAATCAAAATTTGAGTCAAAGCCAAGAAGTTGCCTTCCTAGGCAGACTTGGACAGCATGTGTTGGCTGGGAGGGAGGCAACTATCGTTCACTGGATGCTATATTCTACCTACAGGGCATGGTGGCAGAGGGTTTAACCTGTCTTGCTATGGATCTTGAAGCATGAATTCAAGCCCTGCTCTCAACTTGAAGCAACTACAAACACCTATTCAGCCAGTGGATCCAAAAATGGCTGGTCCTGGTGCTAGCTCTCTCTCCTGTATGCCCTAGTCATGCTAACCTAGTGGGCCACTAAATGTGCCTCTCACCACTGGCAATTTTTTAAAATATATTCAGCTTCTATAACACAGTCTAAGGAAACAGTAATTGACCATCCCTGGGTAAGTCAAGGTACCACAGGTAGTTGCAACGACAAACAACAAGGTTCTCCTCTTCCGCTCGTTCCAGATTTAAGTGGAGAAGTGTGAACATTGTCCAATTTATGTTCCCTGGCATTTCAAACAGGAAAGAGGCTTTTTTTCCTTGCACTACAAGAATAAAACTATCCAATCTAAATGCATGACATAACAAATGAGGGAAGAGCTTCTTATTCAGGAAAAAAAGCTTAGAAATATAACCCCAAAACTCAATGCCAAAAGGAAATGTCAGTACTTTCCCCATCAAGCACTCCAGTAGCACAGCAATAGCTATGGGATGTCTATGTTAGCTGAATTGTGCTTTGGATCACTGGCACTTGGCAATACATAACAGACTAGTTAATACTGGGAGTATTTATTTAAAAAAACAACAGTGTGCTCTGAGCTGTACAGACCATAAAGGAAGACAGTCCCATAAAATTCTCTAGACCCCACCACCACATGTATACAAAATACCATAATAATTCCAAAATGCAGAAGTCTGGAGAAGCAATACATTATTCACTGGCACAGATGCAAACCATTTAAAATTAGCCAGATGATCTGGCAAAGAAAGTTGTGAGCCTTTCCAGTGCCTTTTGCTCCTCAGCCCAGAGAATAACCTCTGCAGCTGCAGATGGGAAGCAAGCTAACCTCCTAAAGCCAAAGAGTGAACGAGAGTACTGGCTAGATTCGTAGCCCCAAAATTTCTGTGACAGACATTTGCTCTCATCAGGGGACCCAAACCTTTCAAACTCAGGTCACTGAACAAAGTTACATACAAACTGGTAATCCTGCTCTATCACCATTAACTATACATCCAAACCAAGACACATCAGTAACATTTGTGTGGAAACATTGAGATAAAGCAGGATGTTTGGAGGATTTGTCATCCTGAACCACTCATGATTCTAGGAGATAATGTAAGGGCAGGTACCCTTGACTTCCAGAGACACTACTCAGACCAGAAACCTGAACTAACTCCAATTGAAAGAAATAAAGGTTGTTGGGCTGCAGGGTGCTGCTTCTCTAATCATACTGGGAAGTTATTAATGTTCCTCTTCCAAGATCAATTATTTGTTTGGGAGGAGGAAGGTTCAACAGGGAAAGGATTAGCTGCATTAAATTACACCCCAGTTTGCATCTCTCTCTCTCTGTCTCTGGAGGCAATACCTAGCAGCAGGAACAGCAAAGCAGGCCTGTCCAATCTGATGCACCCTGTATATGCTGCCCACCACCAAGAGAAGTAGCAACATCCAGTAATGGCTGCGGCACAGGGGCCCAGCCCCTGGCACCTTTTTGGCAGAGGGTCTTAGCCACTGGCATCTTTGTCTACCACTCAGCCCCAGTGGCATTGGCAGCCTGCCCTTTCTGTAAGGAGGAGGTAGAGGAGATGCTCTTCCACCCCTTCTTGGACTGTCTCTGACTGTGGCCACTCCTTGCTGCCCTCAACAGCCTCTTTGGCGTGTTGGACGTGGACTTCTTTAAGACTGTGTACATTTTTTCATCCTGTACC